ACTACAGATGTTATATTCCATACTTAATGGCATAAAATATTCTTTCAAATAAGATAAAAATAGAGTGGATATCTCATACATAAATTTTTATGTTTACATTTATTAAGAATCAAGCGTATTTATTGAAAGACATTTTATTATAGTAAGTAAAATGATAAAAAAGACATTCGCAGTATAATTAGGTTATAGCACCGTTATTACGCTATTCATTGCAATAAAGGCTGACGCTGAATGTGATATCGACCTGATTGTTGTGACAAACACATTGTTGGGCAGTCGCTACAGCTTTCCTACAGACGCTTTGTCACCTCTGAAGATATTTAAGACTTTACAGTGTGTACTTATCTCCTTACAAATACGATTGCAAATTTGCCTGCCATGCCACAGGTTATTGGAGACCCTTTCTGCAAATTGAGTGACCTATGTCCGTCAGTGGAGTTTTACGGTAGTTATTGTGATATATGACGAAAATGAAGACATGATTTATTTGTGTATTAATTTTACATATAAAGAACTGAAATTATTGTAATCATAACAAGTCCTAAATACCATAAACTTGTGGTTGTAATGAAGCGATATTAGACTATTAAGGATGCGAACCGCGATACTCAACAAGTGGTAAAATTAAAAATTTTGTACAACCGAATTCAATATAAATAAAATAAAAACAACATCAATGTAGTTGAAGTCAATACACATAAAATACTGGTCAGATCTTGATCTAAAATTATATAGGGATCACATGAAAAGCACCAGCTTTCTTTATTTCACTACTGTCGCACACAAACTATGCTTAGTTAATTAATTCTCTAAAAACCTCAGTCCTGGAAGAACCAAGACGAAACCAAGCCTATCTTCTTTTTAAAGTAAAATTTTAGTGTAAAAGTAATTTCAAAACTCGTTTAAATAAAAAGTACCATCAATTACATTGCGAGGTTAAAGTCGGCCGCCGTTCTAATATAAACTGTGACACGGATGCCTATTTTATTTATGAAACAGCTTTGAAGCGATGACTATCACGTTTATTGCATGGGGCTATTATTAACCATGTGATTAATTTATATTATTATAAGCCTCTATACAAAAAATAACTAAAAAGAATAGTTACTGCTCATTTATACACGATCCACACCTATGGCCAGAAGGCCATGTCTCTTCTAATAACTGAGTGTTTTAGTGTAAGAAAGTGTCCATCGCGCTGCCATACTGCGTTTTGGCGAACTTCGAGTTTTCGAAATATATCGTTTTTAAATGATTAGATATACATCTCTACGTTTATAGAACTGCATTCAAACATTCTTTGATCAGGTCTACAGAGTCTACAGTAAAGAGTGGCTGCTGCGTTAATTTAGGCAGGGTGTCCTTTAATGATGTAAAAAGATTAAAGGGTTAATTACTTAAGTAGTGGGTAGTGGTTAGGTTAATTTACTGCGAAAAACTTATTGCAATTTATCGGACCTTTGCTATGGATTAGCAACTATAGCGCTTATCAAAAGTTCATTCCAGATTCAAGACATAAGCCTTCAGACAACGTTTGGTGGGCGGGTTGACAATAGTAGTTTTTATTATTTTAAGCAAATGTCTGGAAGATGTTGCTGCCAATCTTGAAACTTACGCGATGATATAGGGTAGTGGACTTTATTACGCCACTGTCTGGCTTCAGTTTGCACGGGTTGGTTCAACCTGGGAAGGACAAAGTTCGCACAGAATACAATTGTAAAATAGCAATATATTGCTTTCGCGTTTTGCATGGGGAGTGGCGAGAACTGAAGATCCTTTTTAATGACCGGTAAATGGTGTCGATAGATAGATTACAGCACAAAGCACGGAATCGCCACGCCGCTGAGGTTTTGACTTCTTTGGGCTACAGCACAAAACACGAAATAGCCGAGGTAGGCCGACGCGGCGATTTAGTGCTCTATGGGCCACATCTTCATCACTAGTTGGACTGTGTGCTCCTTCATCACTCTTAATGGTTGAAAAAATATTTAGTATACTTTGATTTGATACATTGTTATAGAGCCGTAGTAGCTTAGATGCTGGACATTCGTCTAAACAACCTAAGATCGATTCTTACAGGCACCACAGAATTGTTGCTCGCAATTCTAAGCGATACGTGCTTGGGAGTAAATATTTGAGCAGCTAAGACACCGCAGTGAACTTTCAAAAATGAGAGCTGCTTGAGTCTCTCAATGAAATGTACTGTGAATTTCGATTACAGCGGTTAGCTCAACTGAGTGCACTCTATTAGTCCCATGCGACGGCAATACGACAGGACCTGAGGAGATATTTTTTTTTCTATAGTATAAGGTTGGCAAACGAGCACACAGTGAACCTGATAGTAAGTGGTTGCTGTGGCCTATAGACATCTATATTTATCCTCGATAACGAATCAAAATACACATGCGTCGTCACTCGTGAGGGCTGAGATGGAATGCCTCGTTTCCAGTAAAAAGGGCGTTCGCTATACTCACTAAACGAAACAGCAGCGGCGTTAAGCTGCAATTTGAGGCTGGCATTCTGTGAGAGGGTGGTCCTACCTAGCCTGAGCCCTCGCAAACTATAATAATACTGCGCTGTCTCTACGGACCAACGGCTTTACGTGTTTTCCGAGGCACGGAGGTGAAACATCGCATACTTCTTGACTCTTGGACACAAACACAATAAATGATTTTTGGCCCTACCCAGAATTCAAACCCGGGTTTATTAGTACTGAAGATACAACTCGTACACTGTACTGTTACTACTGCTATTATTTTTTGCCGTTTGGTGGCGGCGTGAGAGATTTAGGTTGATGACAGCAGCGTCGAAGCTACTCCAATCAACAATGGGCTTAGAACGCTTAAGACTTTACAGGGTAGCGCGTTGAGGTGAGTCAGAATAAAATGTAAATTGTAAGAGTTAGAGAAATTTGCTCAAAGTACTTTTACTGCCATGCAGGGGCGATGCAAGAATATACTGTCCAACACTGTACTTGTGGCTGTCGTAACAGGCGACAGGTCTCCCTAATAACAAAATAAAAAGCAATAAAAAGCAGCAAAACCATAACTTGTACTCAATTTCACAATAATAAATACCGCTAAATGGAGTGACGACCAGGTCAAAAATGCAGGAAGTTTATGGATATAGGTGGATCAGAACCATGTTTGTGACGTTCCTTGGGGGAGGCATATGTTCAGAAGGGGACTTCTGAAATACAGTAATTATCTGAAGACTTTCATAATTAAATTCTAGAAAAATTAATAAATTATATTTTTCATAAACTAAGGTAGTCTCTATTAATGCAATCGATATTCTCGTTGGCAAGAATCAAGGCCCGTAAAGTAATAATGTCATCAAATAAAATTACCTCATTTACTTATGTATACCATATCTATAAGTTATCTACGAAGTTGCCCTTTTGTTATTGGTTTGCTTGAAATTCAATATGCATTTGTCTTGGATTTCTAAATTCAAATTTTCTGAGTAGGAAAGCCTTAAACCCATCTTGTTTCGCGGGCGTCGTATGAGGCTACTAGAAGTCATATGATATATTCTATGTCTAATGTCTATTAGGGGCCGATGTCCGATTAGGGGTGGGAACCAGTGTCAGAGATGCGATAATTCTGCTAGTGCTATCGCAAGTGAACTGGCGATAGCACTAGCAGAATGGTAATTACTTCTTGCAATCTGATTAAGATGCATATACAAAATATGGTCGTCTTCTTCTTCTTCTACATATCCACTACTGAACCTGAACTTCTCCTGTTGGAAGAAAGAGTTTGGCTTGAGAGGATTGTGAAGTGCCGATACGCGACGCGAAAAGGTATTTTCGTGCTATCTGTTTCATATCGCTCGCTCCGTATCGCGGTATCGTGCGATAGAGAGAGTTGCAAGTCTTGAAGGCAATTGCGTACATTTAATTTTTGAAATATTATTTCGGGCGACGTTTTCACACCCTTAAACCATTACGAAATGAGACAATTTTCTCTTACTTATTGGTCTCATTAGATTCAGTACTCCTTAATCTAGGTCTGTACGTTTTTTTTAGTAACTCAGTTTGGTTTAACTAAAAAAAAAACGCTCGAGGAAGTTTTTAAGACAAAAATATAGATATTTAGATGCTAATAACTTATATCGTTTTTCATTATATTTATAACAATTCCAACAATTATAAAAAGTGGCCTTGTTTACGGGGGGGGGGGGATGTTATCTCTTTTTATATGAAAATTTACAGCTTCACAATCCTCTTAATCATTCAGCTTGGCAGGCAGGCAGATTCGCACTCGTCAGACGTCTCAAGTTTTTGACGCGCCAGTCCATCGCCGGTTTAAGTATTTCACGCCTCGCGTATTCCAGACATTGGAAGACAAAAGATTTTTTTTGACATTTTCGATAGTCGCCTCTTATTAATACTCCATGGGACAAAATGGAATGATACATCTTTATACGCTACAACTACACGACAAACGGTATAGTATTCATTTAAAATATTAATTTTAAGGTTCAAATATATTATTAAGAATATTTTTGCTAAATTATTATAAAAACATGTTCATAGGTTATTAAATGTAAACAGAATACTAGATAAAAATTTGTCAGGAAATCTAACAAATTCAAAGTTATTAGTCATGACATGCACGTATTGCATTTCAGAACAATGACTAAGCAAATTACATGCAGCAGGTTGTATCCTTGATGGATATGCGGCGAGCGCTTCGTCTGTTTCCGGGAAAGCGATCAAATGTCCGAGCTGTAGTATCATGCAATTTGTTGTCTATTGACATATTATAAATAGAGTAAGACAAGTAATGAAGGTGCAATTAGTATTCTGGTCTGCTCTTATTTCACTTTTCGAATAAAAAATATCAAAATATTTTTTATTCGAAAAGTAATAACGTAATATCTCATAGCACTTTGGTGCTATGAGATATTACGGTTTTGCGCCTAGCATCCATCGAAGTTTTTATAAAATCTCCTCGGAAAATATCGTTTTGTTTCAAAACACAGATCATACTTACACTTGGGCTATGCGATTTGTCGTCGCCGAAACTGTCCGTAGAGTTGTGGCTCTGCCCACTACTAGCACTTGAAGTTCTCTCCCGTGCAGCTCTGGCCCAAGACTCCAGCCTCTTCTGGGCAGCCCAAACGCTAGGTGGCCCTAGCCCACTCATTTCGAAGGAAAAGGATTTCACTTACACATGTTCTCTCACGTTTTTGTAAAAAAATATTATATCTTCCAATATTGCATTATATATTAGGCCGAAAATATATATGTTTTAAAAAAATATAGTAGCGTTTTAGGTCTGTATTCGTTGTATGTAGTCAGAGAATTTTGTACCTGCATGAATGTCATACATTTTTTTTATTTTTTTCTCATTAAATTTCTATTAGTATAAGAGATGAGCAGTAGCAACTTTTTACTAGCGACTCAATAATAATAATAATAAATTGCGGTTGCCAACCCGCCCGCCAAGGATGGCAACTTTGGCAAATATTATGAGGCAATTTATGAGGGAGGACTATGTTCAGCAGTGGACGTATGCTGGGCTGTAATGAATTAATAAAATAAAACATTGAATATAGGTTACTGTTATGGATTTTATTGTTTTTTAACTTTCCAGTGGGAAGTTATTGTAATGGGTCCGATTTTGCAAATTGGAAATTTTAACATATCTCCACGTTTCAAGGTCTTTAGAGTCGAATAGTATGGTTTTTTAGGAGGATGTCCGTGTGTGCCTATGTAAGTATGTATGTACGTATGTATGTTCGGATTCAATTTTCGCCTCGTGTATCTCGAGAACAACGAGTGATATTGACATGGGAACAGTTTCATTTGACGCATAATTATGACCTCATTAAATTTTGCGCAAAACTATCCAACCGATGTGCCCTAGACCGGTTTAATTAACAAGCCAATATTACAAAGATAGTTTTAGATCACTAAAACAATGTATTAGGCACTACATAGAAAAGTTGATAAATCATTTCTTATATTACGCGAACACTACACTAATGAACAATGAAACCCATTTTTACGGATTTTATTGCGTTTAGTTTAAATTTTTAATTCCCGAGGTTTCGGGTGCTTTACAGCATCCATGGGCCCCGGGGGTCTGAGATGTTTAACGTCCCGATGTCATATGAGCCCGGCTACCTTCAGTTATTGATATTAATTTTTGGTCCGATCTACGCAGAACGAGCCTACAGTATCTTGAAGTCTTGCAGTATAAATAATTATTAAATTATTAATTACAGGATCCCAAGTAGATGGTAGCGCCCATCCATCTTCTCTACTGAAATTAGGATGTTATTTTAATTTCAATAGCCTCGCGAATCATCGCAGCTTACCATTGCAAGACTTCTATACACTGTAAGCTCATTCTGCGTAGATCGGAGCAAACATTAACAAAAACTGAAGGAAGCCAAGCTAACTATGACATCGGCAAAACCTCAGGAATAGAAAGATACATTAAACGCGATAAAATCCGTAAAAATAACGTTTATTTAAAGTTAGTAAATAAACAAAATTTCATATTTTTCAACAAACTAATGAATTTATTTTTTAGCGTAGTAGCACACGTCGGATATCCGCTTGTGACAAATATAGGTAAACTTGATTTATTCAGTGTGTGTTTTAAAATATTTGCCTTGTAAAAAGTAAAAACAGGCAGTAAAATATATTTTGCAAAAAATATAGTTTACATAAAGTTTTTGTCTATAGTTAGTTTTGTATATAGTTAACAATAAAGTTTTTGTCGCCTAATAATGTTTAATAGCATCACATAACGATAAAGTTTTTAGAAAGATGTCGTACGGTTATATTTAAAATTATTTATTCTGTATAAATAAATTCTGATTACAGAGATAAAAAAATTAAAACAAAAATATAATTCCTAGTTAATAAACTTTTTAACTTTTATTCTAAATAAATGATTATGAAATGCAAAGACACTAGGATTATTCAATATAGCAAACTTTTATTATAGAAAGATAATATTAGTGTTAAAAAATAATTTTATAATAAATTTATCACTGTTCCTAAAATACATTCTAAGTTAATAAAACTGAAATGAAATCATGTATATCAGGAGATCTCTAAATAAAATAAATATATAATATATTTGTCTTATTACAACATATTTTGAAATAATTGTATTATGTTTTTGGATAATATTGATAATATTGAAATATTAACAATTAAATAGCGTATTAAGATGTAAATATTATGTGAAAATATTTTTAATACAGTTTTAAAATATAATTTTTTTTTTCAAAAAGGCTAGACATTTAGACTTTAGACCCGTAGGCTATGGCGGCAGCGTTGCGTGGGCGCCGATAGTACAACACCCTGCAGTGTGCAATTCGGAGTAGGTGTGGGCAGGGCCGCGTGTAGCTCTGCTACGTGGGCGTTTGTTTACTACGTTCTACGTAGTAGACTTTACCGTAGCATGAAACTAACAACATTATTGCACTTTTATACGGACAAGGGTTTTACTTCACAATTTTAGGAATTTAATCGTTACATTTTTAAACCTATTTCAATATTTGCAATATTCGTATTTTTAATTAAAATTTATGGCATATATTTATTAAAGGTTAAAAGGCTTAGCCTCTGTCTAATAATTCAAGGTTTAAGAAAAATTATAATATTTAATTATTTTTAACATTTATCTAAATATTATTATTATTTACAATATTAAAAAACTATAATAAAAAATTAAATTAAAAATTTAAGTTATGATACGGTGCTACTCCCCGTGCCAAGATACTAGCAATATTTAATAACTGAATAACCTACTATTATAGGAGACAAAGAATGTCTCATGGAATCCGGATTATAGGCTAACTGTTGCGCCTCAAAACTTCCATGGTCATAATCTAAAACTATTCGCGAACATGACTGAAGTAATTCAAATGTACGGTTTTTTATTATATTGCAAAAAGTGCTTTAGTTAAAAATAAAAGAATTTTCCATACATATTTGAATTTTCCAAATTTTTAAAGATTTAATTATTAATAAGTTATTTATTAATTTAGTTAATTTGTTAAGTTTTCGCTATAATAACAAGATGATTGCAGATAAAGCATAGTAATATTTATTGCAAATGAAGGTTTAATTAAAAATCAAATCAATCAATAATAATATTTAAGAAAATTCAGGAAGTTTAGTCACCTATATTTCAATTTAATGTAATAAATTTCAGGGGTATTGATGTTTTGAAAATTTTAACACTAACTGTAAGGAATGCGGATTAACATAATGATCTCTTTTACAATACGCGTTAATATTAAAAATGTTATGGTTTTGGGGGTTTGTCACTTAATAAGCGCCGCGAAAGTAGCGTTTGGGTCGGCGGCTCGCGCACACTGCCGCCGCCCGGGCCCTAGATGTTGCCATTTCACTGACTCTACCGACCGTACCCTGTATAGGGTAAATATACCTATCGCGTTAGGTATTAATTTTAAACGTAGCCATCTGTATAATCGGGACTCTCGGGTCAACGCCGACGGATTTCACTTTCTTTACCAGTTGTACACGTAATCAGTAATTATAAAGTTTATTGCATAATGAACGTTTACATTTTTGTAATTTGAATTAAGCGACTGGTTCATTTTCAGTTTCGATATAATCTTAAATTAAAAAAGACGAGAGAATAAAATGGATGCTAGTGAGCTGAGAAATAACTCCAAAATATTGCTAACATTTCGCTAATAATATTTAGATTCTCTTAGATTCTTTATTTTATTAGGTAAGAACTGTTAACTGAACTGTAAACTGAAACAATTGCTTACTTGTTTTTATTAGGACAGTATTGATTATAATTAATATTAGCGATACATAGAATTAAACTACGTAAATTCAGAAATTATTATTTTAAATATTACCTATTACTGATATTGCGGCTTTATGCTGACAACACAAGGGGCGGTGGCGCATTTTAGTCGCGTCACTTTCTCAGTGAATAAGCAACAGGTACGGAAGGTCGTGAAGGACGTCTTGATACTTAAACCAGGTTTGGGTGAATAATTAATATTGATGTCATATTTGTGCACGAACTCTCTCTATGATTTAGAGGAATTGGAAGTATTGGATACATGGGCAAGAAATAATATAAAACGAGAGAAATATTCTATTTTCATAAACTTCACATAAAACATACGTTTTTAACAACACACGTATTATTAAATTATTTATGATATATATTAAAGTTTATATTGCTTATATTAGACACATAGTAAAGTTCCTATTCAATACTAACATTTGCAGGTTGCAGCCAATTAGAAAAATTCAATTTTAGTCTTAAATCTCTTTCGTAACAATTCGACAACAATAGGAACATAAGGTTTTTTCTCGTTACAATGTTTTGGCGTGCCATCACTTTAGATTTCGGTATATAGGGTACACAAAAGAGTATAGCCGACAGAAATGTATTTCAATCGATCCTGTTTCGGCAAAGCCTCCTTTGTGTGTACAAGCACATTACTAGTGTTTTGTTTAAGCTAAGATCGCAACTCAAATATTGGCGCTACACGGATTATTGGGCACTGACGAGACTTTACGTAACTGAAACTCTATGGCTGAATATTTGCAAATCACATTTACCTGTATATGGTCCTGAACCTATCGTAATAAAAGTTCAACAAAAGTTTGAATAGAGAGTAATCTAGACAAAGTGTTAAATTTTATCTGAAAAATTAGGAGATTTTATTAAAATTTATGTTTAAGAAATATTGATAGGACAAAATAAATTATTAAGTATAAATAACCTTAGATCTTACCCAAGAGACACCAGAGCGGGTCGCTAGTTGTAAATGTTATTTTAAAATTTATATACGTACTTGGCTATACCATTTTTTTTAAATATTTTCCCAATAATTGAATGTTTCTAACTAACGTTGAAACTAACTAACTAACTATTATAACGTTGTAACTATGTACTGTTATAAGCGGGTTTTCGTTATTGGTCTTGTGCATGTTGACGGTACGGACGTGCGGAGAACCAACATTTATTAACGAGCAGCCATTTCTAATCCCATTCTTTATCCGTACATATCATTATCATATTAAAAAACTAAATCTAAAAATATTAATTGTCCTACTACTAGTTCTACTCCTCGCCGTATGTTAAATTTAAGTAACTATTTAATTTCTATTTTTGCCTTATTTTTG